CACACAGGTGGGAGGGCATGAGAATCTTTGTGAGAGCTAGTAAGCCAGCCACATGTGTGCTTGAAGGGCCTGCCTACTGGCCATCGAAAAATGTCTAGGCCGGGGCCATTTGGCAAAGGACTTGAGACGGCAATGGTCACTGTCGAGCACCTAAAGAGTTCTTGTTTGACTTGTTTTGTGCAGAAGTGCCACACACCTCTGCCCAAAAAAACTAGGAGAGCACGTAGGCCATCATCCACGATGTACCTGCAGAGGAGACCTATTGGTCCTCCCGATGTTTTCCCAGCCAAGGACATTTTATTCTTGTTTTATTGCTTGAAAGGCTTCAGCAGACCATGTGGATGGAAACAAAAGTGTGGGGACCACCACCTGAAGCTCATGGCAACGTCGCATCTGCTGCCGAAGAAGGTTCTCTGCGCTCTCGGCCTCCTTGGCCCGCTGCTCGTTGACCGCTCTTTCTCTCTCAGCTCCAGCTGCCAGTGCTTGCTCGAGTGCATCTATGCGATTGCGCATGCTTCCCCTTTCCATTTCTGCTCACCACACGAGAGGTGCAATCACAACCCCCCCCCCCAAAAAAAAAAAAAAAAAAAAAAAAGGTGCAATCACAACCCAACTTTATTATTCAACCAACAAAAAAAAAACTTGACGAAAAAAAGTTGTCGAAAGCCGGAAACCAATTTTGTCATCATGTATAAGTTAACTGAGGCAGAGAAGCGAAGTCCGTGTTTCATTCAGAACAAACCAGCCACGCCATCGCACTTTTGCACAGCGGAATCGCACATTGCAGTGACCACTTTACCCAAGCTATCTTCCATGTCCAGAGCCATGAAACCTTTGAAAAGACAACAACAACGTCCGTGTGGCCTACGATATTGGCTATGCCTGTCATCTCTCAGCTGACCAGCTTTGGATATGGCATGACCATCGAGTACGGCTCACGATGTTGTTACTTGAGGCATTATCTAACAGTCTCATAATCTCACAATCTGAAAAACCACGAAGCGAACCTGACAAACCACCTTGAGATTGCTGACAATTTCTTTTTTGAGAATCAGTTGATCGTGAGCCCATAAGACTCCAGCTGGTGGCCACAGGTGTACGCTCACGAGTCACTCACGAGTCACAACGGCTCCCTCCCTCCCAATCTCCATGCCAGGTGACAGAAGAGGGTTCCACAGGAAAGTAACGATTCAACTCGCCTATACCCAGTCCATGTGCCTCAATGGTATATACACGATGTAACAACCGATCATGATTTCGAATCCTGAGGGAACCAGATGAATATCTCTATCTCTATACCATTAAAAACTGCAAAGGGCCCGACGTGATGCTTCCCAGCGGGCCCAGAGAAAATCGGTGCCGCCCACAGAGCGGCCTGAGTGAGGTACTACGTGCGGCACTGGGAAGATGCAGATTCGAAAAACCATGTGTGGCACTTGGAAGGGGGTGGGCGAACGCAGACGGTTTTTCTTTTTTTATCCCCCGCCTTTTGGGCGTTTTTTTGCGTGCTTCCATTCGGGCGCCGTTTAGAGAGTGGGAGGAGGAGGTCGCTCGAGGGGGAGGGGGAGGTTGTGCAAGCGGGAGGAGGAGGTCGCGAGAGGGGGAGGTTGCGCAAGGGGGACGAGGAGGTCGGAAGGGGAAGGACGAGGTAGCGAGGGGGAGGAGGACATCGCGCAAGGGGGAGGCACCGTTTGGAGAGTGGGAGGAGGGGGTCGCGCGAGCAGGAGGAGGAGGTCGGAAGAGAGGTTGGAGGAGGTCGCAAGAGAGGAAGGAGGACGTCCGAAGAGGACGTGTGAGGGAGAGGAGATGGTCACACAAGGTCGTGCGAGGGGGAAGCGGACGTCGTGCGAGGGGGAGGAGGAGGTCGGAAGAGATATGGGAGGAGGTCATGCGAGGGGGATGAGGAGGTGGGAAGAGGATGCTTGAGGGGGAGGAGGAGGTCGTGCGAGGGGGAGGGGGGGGTCGCACAAGGGGTAAGAGGAGGTTTGAAGAGGGGGAGGAGTCGTCGCATGGTCGCGCGAGGGGGAGGAGGAGGTCGGAAGACGATGTGTGAGGGGGAGAAGCAGATCGCGCAAGGACGAGTAGGAGGTCGCACGAGGGGGAGGAGGAGGTCGCACAAGGGAGAGGAGGAGGTCAGAAGAGGGGGAGGAGAGGGTCATGCAAGGAGGAGGAGGAGGCCGTGCGAGGCGGAGGAGCAGATCACACGAGGAGGACAAGAGGTTGCAGGAGGTCGTGCGGAGGTCGCAAGAGAGGTGGGAGGAGGTCGCGCGAGTGGGATGAGGAGGTCAGAAGAGGACACGTGAGGGGGAGGTGGAGGTCGTGCAAGGAGGAGGATCTGGAGGCCGGAACAGAGGTGGGAGAAGGTCGCACAAGGGGGAAGAGGAGGTTCGAAGACGATGTGCGAGGGGGAAGAGCAGGTCGTGCAAGGAAGGGGAGCAGGTCACGCGAGAGGGAGGAGGAGGTCCCTCAAGGGGGAGGAGGGGGTCATACAAGGAGGAGGAGCAGGTCGTGCGAGGGGCAGGAGCAGGTTGCACAATGGGGACGAGAGGTTGCAGGAGGTCGTGCGAGAGGGGGAGGAGGAGGTCACACCGGTGGGAGGAGGTCGCTCTAGGGGGAGGAGTTCGTGCGAGCGGGAGGAGGGGGCCGCGAGGGAGGACGAGGAGGTCGCGCGGTCGCACAAGGGGGAGAAGGTCTGCGAAGGAGAGAGAGAGAGAGAGAGAGAGAGAGAGAGAGAGAGAGAGAGAGAGAGAGAGAGAGAGAGAGAGAGAGAGTCCGCCTTTTTTTTCTGGGGGGGGGGGTTGATTTTCCAAATACCCCCAAATGTTGAGATATATGTCAAAATGTCCCTGAAAGATCTGGCACAGTGGAATGGCCTTTTAGGCTGACAACTTTGTGTTATGCCCCTGTCAGGCGGGTGTGCAAATTCGCAATCTCAGACTCAACTACCGGGGCATTTTGCAAAGTTGGATGGCGTTCGGTAGGGGTACATTGCAAAGATGGGGTCCAACCGATGTGTGGGGTCTTCCGCAAAATGTTTTTGTCATCTTCCTTCACTGCAGCGTAGCTGTGGCAGGCCCACTTGTGCATAATAATGGTAAGGGCAACCCCTTCAAAACAATTATTGTTCTAAAGGGAGGAAAAGAGGGGTATTCACAGAGAAGCAGTGTCATCGATCGTTTTTTGCAGCCGTCATATTCAACGTTCTATGAGTTGGCTGGAGGCTGGTTTGACTTGAGAACAATAGAACAGGTGCCGTCAATATAGGCCCAGACTTCAGGTTCGACAGCAGGCAGAGAGTTGGTTAGAGTGAGGGGAATCAATCAGGCCATGCGGCTGAATGCTACACACTCGTAATGAATAGATCACGAGTCCTGACAGAATCAGATTGGACGAATACTATCATGCTGGGGGGTGGGGGGTTCCTTTTTCTTCCTTTTTTTTTCTGTAATGAAGCCAAATTCAGAAACATACAATCAATCAAGTCTAACATGAAGTCACTGCTCAAGTCAACGATAACAAGCAAATTGAGACAGTAAAGAACGACAAGACTATGTCAAGAAGAAGATCAAAGCGTGGAGTTGTCTCAAGATCGTGTAAACAATTGAGACACACTCGTATAAACAATGAATACGATGTTCAAAACTGCTTCTACTTCTTCCAAGGGAATCCTTCTCACCACCTCAATGCATCCACAGACTTGTATCTCTCGACTCCTTCACCACCAGTCTGGGCACAATGTCACTTGCCAAGTCAACCTCTCTACTGCGCTGGCTATCCGAGGCTAGCACAATGAAGCTGGGACTCAAAATGACGCCGTCAATCTTCTGCGGCAGCATGGAGTCTTCGTCCTCCAAGTCACGACCACATTGCCTCTCTGAAGCTATGGTGACCTTCTTCCTTGACCTCACTAGCACAACTCCTACATTCTCCGTACAGCACAAGCACCAACAGGATAAACTGAAAAAAAAGAACACAGGAAAAGTACGAACGAGAGAGCAGAGAGCGAGAGACAGAGACAGAGAGACAGACGGGCGCACACGGATGGACGGACAGATGGACGGACTAACCAACCGACCTACCGACCGACCGGCAGACACAGACAGACAGACCAGCTGACAGACAGCCGACGGACGAACGGACAGACGGAACGACAGACCAGCCAACGGACGGACTGACAGACAGACAGACCGACAGACAGACAGACCGACCGACAGACAGACCGACCAACAAACAGACCAACAGACAGACCGGCAGACCAACCAACAAACAGAGCCACAGGCCGACCGACTGACCGACAGACAGACAGACACACAGACAGAGGCAGACAGGCAGACAGACAGACAGACAGACAGAGAAAGACAGACAGACAGACAGAGACAGACAGACAGACCGACAGAGACAGACAGACAGAGACAGACAGAGACAGACAGAGACAGACAGACAGACAGAGACAGACAGAGACAAACAGACAGACAGAGGCAGGCAGACAGACAGACNGACAGACAGACAGACAGACAGACAGACAGACAGACAGACAGACAGACAGACAGACAGACAGACAGACAGACAGACAGACAGACAGACAGACAGACAGAAACAGACACAGACAGACAGAGACACAGACAGAGACACAGACAGAGACACAGACAGAGACAGAGACAGAGACAGAGACAGAGACAGAGACAGAGACAGAGAGACAGAGAGACAGAGAGACAGAGAGACAGAGACAGAGACAGAGACAGAGACAGAGACAGAGACAGACAGAGACAGAGACAAAGACAGAGACAGAGACAGAGACAGAGACAGAGACAGAGAGACAGAGAGACAGAGACAGAGAGAGAGACAGAGACAGAGACAGAGACAGAGACAGAGACAGAGACAGTTCCGTAATCAACTAGGCATACCAGATGCTTCCTTCTCTGTTTGCAATGCCTTGATCTCATCTTCTAGCTTTTTTACCTCCATCTCTTTCGCTGCAAGCTTCTCCAGAAACTCTGATTTCACCTGAAAAATGCACAACCCTACATGAATTCCAGGAAAAAGAGAGAGAGAGAGGGAGGGAGGGAGGGAGGAAAAAGGGGGGGGGGCGGGGGGGGGGCAGCGAAGGAGGGGGGAGGGAAGAACGGGCTAAGACACAGGAAGAAAACCAATATGCGTGTGACACATCAAATTCGGCGAGGGCTAGAACGAAAAGTTACGTGTGTGTACCATGCAGCCACTGGGGAGGAAGACTCAATATGAGTCCACTTTGCAGACAAAGACCCTTAGATAAGCAGATCAACCACCGTCAGGCTATCTTATTCCAGAGATAAGGGGGGGCGAATCTTGACTCTCAGACTAGCAGATCAACCACCACCAGGGCATGTCATTTAACAGGTAATGGGGATGAATCTGGCCTCGTCTGATAAGTAGAGCAACCACCATCAGGGTATGTTATTTCACAGGTAGTCGGGGATGAAACTGGACTCTCAGATAAGCAGATCCATTCCCCCAACGGGGTATGTCATTCTACAGGTAATGGGGAATGAACCTATGTCATTCCACAGGTAATGGGGGATGAATCTATGCCAGGTAATGGGGGATTGCATCCGGACTCTCTGAAAAGCAGATCAACCACCTACAGGGTATGTCATTCCACAGGTAATGGGGGATGAATCTAGACTCAGATAAGCAGATGAACCACCATGAGGGTATGTCATTCTACAGGCATGTCACTGTACAGGTAATGGGGGATGATTCCCTATGTCTTTTTTTTCTTTTTCCCCCACCAACTAAGAGCGGTCATGCACAACCACCCATAGAATCACGAAAGAGCTCTTTTTTTTTTTAATAAATAGTAAATACAGTCTGCCTGTCCTTCGGGACATCCATTAAAATTGGAACGATACAGAGAAGATTAGCATGGCCCCTGCGCAAGGATGACATGCATAACTCGAGAAATGGTCCAAATTAAAAATTTAMAAAAAAAAAAAAAAAAAATTGTCTGCCTTCTTCTCAAATGGGGCATAGCTGTATTTTTGTTATCGTATTCACTCCTTCCTCACACTAGCACACCTTCCTCACACAGGTAGCGATCTTGCTTACCTACGTTTTTTACCCGCTCACATATCTCTAGCATGGGCACCAATCAATCCACCACCCCAAGGCTACCCGACAAACAACCTACCATCCCAGGGCAACCCGGCACCAGGCAACGGACCAACGGACTTGGACAACGATCCCCCAACCTAGACAACAAACCACTTCTATGCACAGGCATCAACAGGCACTAAGGGTTATGGGTGAGTAACTTCGTACGTTTCTCCCTAGCCTATCGTAGCCTACCTATCCTATCTGTTCTAGGTTGATCATTCTCCCTCAGGGTTTGAGCCTATCCCCTCAGGGCTGAGCCTATCCCCTCAGGGCTGAGCCTATCCCCTCAGGGCTGAACCTAACCCCTATAGAAACGGATGTGGGGAACCCCTGACTAAGTCCCTATGAACCCACTAGGGGGGGTGAGCTGATTATCTCAGCTGGTGAACCTGCAGGGCGCCGCAGGAGGCCATGGGGATTCGAATGGAAGGCATGGGGAATTGAACCCACAACCTCCTGAATGCAGCTTTTGTGCTCTACCAACTGAACTAGGCCGCTAGCCCTCAAGAAAGGGGTCAAGTCATAGATTCATCCCCCATTACCTGTCGATCCGTGCTGTATCCGGACCCGGAGAGTTTCCCCATGTTCCAGGTCATTCCGCACAGGGTTTGTAAGACCAACCATGGAAAGACTTGAGACTCTATTGAGCCTCCACCACACGTCGTTGCACAAAACACAATACACGCATGCTTAGACAGACTCTCCAGTCTCGACCTTTGCAGATGGAGACTTACAGATAAGCCACCTCCCGGGAGATAAGTTACCTTTCGGGTTTTGTACACAAACTGCGTGCGAAAGCTAACCTTAGAAGCCTCAGACTCTGAGACAGAGAGATATCACCGACTCGACACCCCAAAGATCAAAAAAGATATTGACTCATTATTCAAGAAAGCAATCGGGCTGCCGTAGCGCACAATCCTTCAATCTGCAGCCATTCGACGACCTTCCAAGTTCAGCTCCCGCTTGCTGCTGCAGGGCGCAGCATACTCTACAATCGTGTAGATTTGTTTTCTTTTTCCAGAGAAGGCAACCGCCTCAAGATATCATCGTCAAGCTGACCGTCCCCAGGGATCTCAGGAATATACTTGTCTAGATCCATCCGGACTTGAACTCGGGCCTGTATTCCAACAGTTCACGGGCGTACCAACTGAGCTGGGCCCGTTGGTACAGAATAGTAATCTAGATAAATTTGCTCTTGCCCTCGTTTGTCTGTCTGTTGTCATGTTCGCTACACACCACTCCACAAAACAAGCATGTCTGTGCCAGAATGTTTTGTCCGACTTTCACCGGCTCATCGGGAGGTTGAACCCCAACAATGTCCCCTTGTTTGTGTGTGTGCAATTGTGTGTTGCAAATTCTCACCGTTCCCAGCACGTACTGCTCCTCACGAGTAGATCGGAGCTTTCTTTTCAAAAAAAGAAGGAAAACAAAACTGTAGATTCTCACCGCAACAGCCCCTGTTCCACCCAGATGAGCCAATCCAAAATCAATGCAGTTTTACCTCTATTGCAGACAATGAAGCACACTTGAGATGAGCCAGTCCAACAGTGACACAGTTTTTATTTACCTCCAAAGCAAGCAAAACGAAGCAGAATGGATCCGTTACAGCCCCTTCTTGACTTATCCTTACTTTGGCTTTCTTTGGGGTACCCCTTTTACTTGTTCTTGTAGCTCCTCCTTTTACCGTGCCTCTCACGTACAAGGCTCGCCACGTTGATTGTGGTTGAGCGCAAGCTGCCCACATCCCTGTGTGCTATAATGGCCCACTTCCACTCTACGAAAGGAGGAAGAGTAAAGAGGGAGGTATAATCCTGTTCAATTTTCTTCTCATATCTTCGGCTCAGATTTTGTCGCTTCTCTTGATGATGCCGAGTCATATGCATTTACTAGTCGTACGCAAGAGTAGCAAGGAAGGAAAGGGGTAGGGGGTAGACTTCTAAAGGAAAGCGAGGGGCGGAGAGGGAGAAGGGGTAGAGGAGGAAAGTGGAGGGGCAGAGAACAGAACAGAGGGAAAAAAAGATGAAAATTCACAGAGTTCTCAGTACTCGCCGCTGGATTAGACTACTCTAGAATGAGGTTGCAAGGAATTTTGAGTCGAGGAGCAGCCGTCGTCCATGCTCTCACAGTTGCAGTTGCTGCATCAAATGGCACGGGGTAGACAGATGTCACAGGCTATGTGGCTCCTACATGCTAGGAACACACAGAGGCACGCCGACCACGATTGTATAGGCATTGGCATTCCAGCCCATGTCTACAAATCAGACACGACATGTCGGGGCGTCGTCGTACATGAGTGCAATATTGACTGTCATCATAGGTATTAAAAAAAGAAACTTCCATGGGCTATGCCTTCATAATCCTCACGACACAAGGCATGCGAATCATATGCTAGCCAAATCTCAGGTGGACCATCACAGAGCAGCATTGACTAAGTTACTTGGGTTTCGTCCACAGCCAATACTCCCCTCTCTATGGGAAGGCGATGACGGTGTCGGGCACGGCACGGTCGGAGTGGTATCTCCGCTGACTCAAACGCAATACCTTAATCCTGCGTGACACGACCGTGAGGTCCTACGCTTGCCGAAGGGTGTAGGACCGCCGTGCCCGACAACGAGGCCTGACCCGAAGTAAGGGTGTTTAGCTGTTGCAAGATCTGGTCTGCAACAGCTCACCTTGGTGGTGATAACCTTTCAGCATACAGCACACTGTAGGTGGTTCAAGGGAGAGTCTATTTTTTCCCACTGCAGGCTGCAGTGCGTGTTGTTCATCCAGCAAGGATGAAGGAGACCCAAGTGCGGGTGCAGCAGGAGTGTGCCCAACGCTGCATGCAGGACATGCCAGGAGAGGATGTGGCGGGTGATGGCATCGGGGAGAGACACATACTTTCAACGACAGCTTCCTGGAAACATGGACGACACATGGCGTGTTGCTGACATGCCAGCAGGAAAGCAGGATGACGTTCACACTATTTAAACCACCAGTACCTCGCCCTGCTTGATAAATTTGACGCGGTCGTTACCGCGCCGCGTCGGGCGTGGTACCCACCGGGGTGCGACCGGTAGCCCACAAAAAACGGGCACCAAAAAAAAAAAAAAAAAAAAAAAAAAAAAAAA